CACCGGCTCGGCTGGTCGACGCTACCCCGTCAACGTCCCGAGGTTGACGGGATGAACTGGACGCCTGAGAAAGTCCCAAGCTGGAACTGATCCACTGAAGAAAAGAGGCAGCGTCGAATCCAGGCGGGAAGGGTGTTTCTGATGGAGGTGGGGGTGGAGGAGACTTTTCCCCACCAAGCTTCGGCACGGTCGGGGAGCCCAACTCCTCCGAGCCCGGAGGAAATTTAGGCCGGGGCGGCGGCAGTCCGCGCCGTCTCCTTCCTTGACCGATGTTCCCGGTGCCAACGCCGAAGGGGCATTTCGCTCCCAAGCGGCGGATGTTCCCGGTGCCAACGCCGAAGGGGCATTTCGCTCCCAAGCGGCGGAAAGAGGTTGGAGTTCTTCTCTTTTTCCTCCGAACCTCCAGCTGTAGGAGCGGGGACTTTTCGTTCACCCGACTCCTCTTCCTCCTGTCCGGAGGCTTGTGCAGACACGCCTGTCTTTTCCACGGCCAGGAATTTTTCCTGACTAGCGATGGGAAACAGGCCGCTTCTCTTGCCGTTACGACCCGTCTGGTCCTCCGAAAGGCTACCTGAATCGCCCTCGTGGGCAGAAGACTTCGTTTTATCCTTCTTTTTGGGCCTAACGCCGAAAGAAAAATCCGAAAAAATAAGGAGTAGGGAAACGAACGTGCACCCCTCTGCGAACGCACAAGGAAAATGGCGGCGAACAATGTCATTACGTCATGATATCCCGTGATGCTTTGCGATTAGAGCTTTGTACACGTGCGCCACCTAGCGATAAGCATAGGAAATACTGCATAAGGTAAATGATATACCCAAATAGGGAGTGTGCAGGTATAATCAAATTGCACATGACCTTACATTATCCCTGAAACAATATTGAATGTTGAAAAGACAAACTGACCTTCTGCTCTGCTTGCTATCTTTTCAGCTTGGCAGTCTCCTCCTATTCTGTTATCACATCTGAAAGTACAAGACAGTAGAATCAGCATAAATCACACACTAAAAAAAACACAGAAAAAACACAAGTGTAAAACTGAAAGATTAAGCACAAACAAGCACAAAAACACAAGACAGTGTAATACACAAGAGAGAGTAATAGTGAAGGATCTGTAATTCA